GGGGGGGGGGGGGGGGGGGGGGGGGGGGGGGGGGGGGCGTACTCTCATGTTTTGCATGCCATAGGGGTTAGACCATTGACCACACGTCCTCCACAGGACGGAGCATTCGTCCTAGATGGGACGGAGCATTGTCCTGACAGGGTGAAAGGGGGGTAGGGGTGCCGAGAGCAACAAAGGGGGTGCCCGTGTAAGCGTTTCACCACACACCCTGCCATTGGTTGAAGACGCATAACGCCTCCTACCGGCAGTCGTATGGTCTCTTTTGATCGAACATGGCCGGCCGCCACTCCCCGACTACTTCATGGCACATATGGACGCCACCCACCATTCGCTCATTCCGTTACACCCTCGTACTGAACCTCGGACGCAGTGGCAAACAGGCAGCAGCAGCGGCAGCAGCGGCAGCAGAGCCATTCTAGCACACAATACTAAAAGCAGTAGCAAGCAGCAGATGTGTCCGTGGCGTTTATGCGTTACGCGTATAGCCAAGCGTAAGGCCACTTCGCAGCATGAGAGCGCCGTGTGCCATCAGAAACACCCTCATCACGCCGCACCTATCGAGTAGATATCCCGGAGCTCCGCCTTGCCGTCGAGGATGAGGTCACACAGCTTGTCACATATCTCTCCCACCTAACCGAACACATGACAGCGGGCGCAGGCGGTTTTGTCATTTGAAGACATGTTCAACCCGGCAATGTCACAACGGCGGCCGTACCAAGCCACCACAAAAGCGAAAGCAAGCACTAGTACCAACGATACGCCTGCGTTGTCATCGGACGGATGATGTTGCTCTCCGACTTTCTTCGTCTTGCTCCTACACTACTGACGAGCAGCCCTCCGGACAAACGAGTCACACTCGATTCGAAACGCCAATCGCATACGTACACATCACAGGCACGCCAGAAAAAATGTCAACGTTGCAGTCTTGTGGCCTGGTGCCTCCACGACAGGGCTGCCCCACTGCAAACAACAACTTGGCAAGCCCGCAAGCCAAAAGGTATTCGAGTCGTCACCACAGGACTGCCGACGGGGCCTTGCGCTCACCGGAACGTGCCACTGTCAACCTGAAGGGGTTCGGGGCCATATGAATGCGCAGATCACGAAGAGCCACGGCAGCTGCCTACAATCTACGATTGAAGATGTAGATGTACTACACAACGTGTAGGCACCAAGATATATTTCGCCTCAAATAGGAGTCGCACGAAAATTGAGCCATACAGCAGTACAAGCACGCCGCGGAACGACAAAAGTCCACCGAGGAGAGCACAAAGGACCCCAACACAAAAACGCTACAATTACCCCCATACCCCTTGCCACAACACAAGTCAGTTTTCCACACAAATCACCCAAAACATCACAAACATATAATCTAGTCTGCTGTCGTCCAAAGCACTCTCGCTCTCAACAGAAGTGTAGTGACCTCTCTGCCAAATAGTGCAAGTCGTCCAATTCTCCCTCTCTCAAACTTCTAGCGAGCTCACCCATCCTCTCCTCGACAGAGGTGTTCCCTCTGACTGCCCACCCACCCCGAGACCCTAAAAAAGCGACACCCACATACCTGGGCTTCTTGAACCTTGCGCAGTAGAGCGCCAAGGCACTTGACGGCAATGGTCTGCACGTCGTTGCTGTTGTCATCCAGCTGCTTCAGCACAGCGGTACAGATACGCCTCTCCATGGTGGCGTCGATCTGCGTATCGAATCGAATTGCGCGGGGGCGGGGGGAGGTTACCAGTGTCGAACACTTTGCAGGGTGCAGAGAATGTCGACACGATAGCCAGGGAGGCTTGTCGGTCTCATGCATCGCCATTCCGTGCTTGCCGAAGACGTTGGACCCATCCAGACGGAGCGCCATTTTCCTGCTCGTAACGGAGACACCTCCAATGCACTGGACCTTACTATATTACCTAGGTCAAATGTTACTAACATTCCCGTTAGACCAGCTGGTAAATCACGGCGCATGCCGCCCTCGGGTAAAGTAGAACAATAGGAGCTCTTGCAAAGCACGAATTATTATGCATACTACCGTCAGCAGCATCTGAAGAACAGACTTCTGTTCAGGAAGATCATTGGGCGAGGATACAAACAGGCGAGTCTGCGAACAAAAAAGTGTGGCATGTATCACGGCGGTGAAGAATATGGCTTGCCATATGGGTGTACATTGGTCATCTCCTTTAAAACCTTCAAGCAGCGGGTAGTCGTCACCGTTGTCGCGAACAGGGGACTGGGGATGGCTCACCTAGATCGCTTTCAGCACACCACACAGTAAAGCTGTATGCTACATGTTCAATGTGCTTCAGGGATGCATTTGCTCGTACGCCAGCCAAGGTGCCGCCCCATGAACATCGTGAGCTACGCCGAGTCTTGCTTGCTCCCACATTTCAGCACTCTCCCATTCAAAATCTCTGCTTTTCATGATTACTCGATGGAAGGTTGCTGTAGCTGCGATCGACGACGGTGAGTCTCGCGCACATGGCCATCGAACAAGCTCGTCCGCAATGTGAAAACATCAGTAATGTTTGGTTTCATAAGTGTTGGAAATGTTAACGCTACCAATATTCACAGAATTTATGCGATACCACACGTTCTTCGTGTAACAGGCATGGTACAGTGTGTAACGAAGTTGGGCGTGTCCCCGTGTGTCCCCCCCCCCCCCCCCCCCC